AATGGCCATTGCCTACATTCCAGAGGGGTCCGAGTTTAGAAGTTGAGAACCTGGGAGTTGCCGTGAGCGTAGTGGCCTGACATCCCTGTGAGAACAAATAAAGATGGGAAGAGAGCCGAGGGGGCCACCATATTCATGTCAAGGACAGTTAGCTGTCCATAAAGGCCCCTTCTCCTGACCCAGACATAGCTGTGGCTGGGCAAGAAAGGCCCTTACCAAAATGCCAAATCCCAGCATCCTTTGCAACACACCAGACTACAAATCCCAGCATCCTTTGCGATGCACCTGGCTGGAAGCAATGTGCCAGAAGCAATGCACAGTGCCTCCCGGCCAAGACCATCAGACACCTTCACACTTCCCCATCTTCCACTGGGCCCAGAGGGGACAGTGGAGCTGCAAGCTGGGTCACTGGCTCACTAGGGCAGGGGCCTCCACTCAGAAAGACCTTCTTGAAGCCAGGCATTGTGCAGTTAGTTCACCTGCCATCTCAGGCACTCGGGTGGCCGAGGCAGGAGAATTACTTGAGCCCGAGAGTTTAGAGACGGCCTGGGAAATATGATAAAACGTATGAGAAAAAAAAAAAAAGTCTGAGAGAGAGAGAGAACCAGAAGATAAAAAGAAGTGCCTGCCTTGTGTTGTCTCCTTTTTGTGTTTGGGACAGTAAGTGTGCTTGGGTCTATTTGTTCCTGAAGCTCACACAAACTTATACAGCGTGTGTCTCCTCCTGCAGGGGAAACAGTGATAACTGGATAATGGGAATGCCTCTCCTGTGACCACACCAGTCCAGCAAACATCTACAACACGTATCTCTTGATCCCTGGGAGTAGGTCTGCCATTTGCAGACCACCCTGCAGAGCCGTGGGGCCTCTCTGGTGGGCCGCCCTTCTGTCTGAGGGAGGAATGGTGTTGTTATTGGTTTTCAGGTTGCATCTTTCTGCCTGCTTGTTAAAGGGATTCTCTATAGCTTAGAGTAACTGCAAAGTCCCCACCCAGGGGGAACCGGTGTGATCAGACATGCTGTGTCCCATAAGACAGAGTTTCACTTCTCCACGCAGCCTCCTGGCCTCAGCTGCTGACACAGACCATGTGGCTTCACAGAGGTCTGTGGACATTTGCTTAGGAAGGAAAAGGAAACTCAAACGCACAGCAAAGCATCAGAAACCTGGGCAGAGGACGAAACAGAAAAACACGCGAGTGCTCCGGTCAGCCATTCTGAAGTATGAAGAGCACCAAAGCCTCTGAGGCGTCCGTTTGGCACGCAGATGCCCTAGGCTCCTCCTCGGAGAGCCTGATTCATAGACACTGACGCTCTAAGAAATAACCATGCGGGCTGGGGAGGTGGCTAAGAGGGTGAGAAAGCTTGTTCTGCAAGCTTAGGGACCCGAGTTCAAATCCCAGGAACCCACATGAAAAGCTGGGCATGACTGTGTGTGCCTGCAACCCCAGTACTGGGGGGCGAAGACGTGTATTCTGGGAGCTTGACGGCCAGCCTGTCTAGCCAAAACAGTGAGCTGCCAGTTCAGTCAGAAACCCTGTCTCACAGCGATACAG